AAACATACAAAAGCAGCATCAAAAAAAAAAAAAAAAAAAAATTATATAGTGCTTAGATAAATCAGAAGCAGCAAAATCTTCTGGGAAAGTTCACATCCCCCAAAGTTTTGTTACTTGTCTGAGGAAAAAAAAAAAAAAATAGATGTATGGAAGAGCACTGAGGAAAAGGATTAACCCACTGACAAACTGATGCCTACGATAAACAAACACACACCTGCCATCTACTGCTCTGTGCCTGATTCTGTGCGTCTCCATGGATTCAACATGACACACGAGGACGTGGTGGACGAGCACCCTACAGAAACGGGTGACGGCCATGACCACATCCAAAAAATATTTTTTTCTTCTTTTGTTTTTTTTAAACTTAGCTAAACAGTGACTACTGCATGGAGGAACCGGTTAGGGTACAGTGTCATCAAAAATGTCTAAGATTTAAAGGGGGGGGAAACCTCTGTAAACACGGCACAATAAATAGTTAAAACAGCAGATTCTACACCATGCATGTGATGACATACATTTTTTTCTGTAGTACAACTTTCACACCTCATACTCGCACCAGTTGCAGTTTGCCATTTTCTCTTTTTAATTTTGATTTTTTTTTTATATCTCGAGTGCAAAACATCACAAATGAACAATTCTGTATTCAAGTTTACAGATGATCTCTTATTAACAGTAACAAATAGGGGAATAGGGAGAGAAAAAATATATTGTACGATACGAGCATTGCAACTGAGTCCCAAAACAGTTGCCATGGAAACCCAGCCTTGCTGTGCTCATTCCGCCACCACTTGCATTCACAACTAACAAATGATGCATAGCACCTTAAAAAAAAAAACAAACAAACAAACAAAAAAAACAACAACGATGACAACGGAGTCACGCTTCCCCCCAGTGCTGCATTATGGGAGGCTACGTAACCTCCATGGCCACTGTGTTCTCTGATAGACTGTTTAGTGCTGGCTTGTCTTGTTCATGATTCTCCCTGAGGACAGAAGACGACAAAAGGCAGAAAGACACACTGTTAGCAGCAAGGAGGTAGCATTGAAAGCCATTTTATAAATGTAAAAACGGCAAAATGCCGCAGAAACTGAACTTGTAACTAGGGCTTTTCATAAACCTAACGTACAAGGATGTTGCTAATATTTCCACCGTCTCTGCCAAACACTTCAGTTATTACTTATTAGAAAGGTGAAAGTAAGGAGAACCTCAGGGCCTACTGCTGAGTAGGCAAGTCAAGTAAACCAGCTGATGTTCAAATTAATACATTTTGGTTTATATACGCTCATTCTGAATCTGAGGCCTTCACTACATTTTAAAATAATTTGACAGGCTCCAAACTGTCAAGCAGCTGAAATTCCAAGCAACGGGAAGATATTTCTCTTTCAGAACTAAAGCAACTGGCCTCGTCTATTCCCAACAGCTTACAGGTGTTGATAAAAGTACAGGTGATCTTTTGCTAAAACCACATTTTCATAACATGTTGCCTTTGTACTAATATCAATTAAATATTGGTTTTAAATGATGTGCAAATCGCTCTGTTTAACATTTTACACAACCCAACTTATTGGAAATGGGGGTGTACACCAACCAGCCTGGTATTCTGTTTACTAAGTCGAGCAATAGTATGTTTGGTTTAAAGATGCAGTTTGTAAGATCTAGAAATATTAGCAGAAATGGGCTATAGTATGCATGCTTACATTTTTATTAATGTGTTGCTTTTTCTTCATCTTAGAATGAACCTTTTATACATCTACATAGGAGGTCCCCTACACAGGTTCCCTGTCATGGAGGATGCCATGTTTTGTTTTGTGTTTTAATAGTAGTCCAGAGTGGACAAACCACACACTGGCATGAATTTCACATTTTCACATGGAAGCAGCAGCTTGGATTGGGACAGGGTTGGAAGACGAAAAGTTGTAACATTAGAAAAAAAAGAGGAAGCATTGTTGTGAATTAAAGGAAGAAACATAGATAAGCTTTATCACAAGAAAAAGGAAGATGGGTGAATGAGTCATAAAAGAAAGACAGAAAGAAATGGGACTTTAAGGTTAGCTGCAGTCCAGTGAGCTGTTGATTGCAAAAAACCCTAAAACAAAACAAACCACCAAACAACCAACCAAACTGTGAAACAAGCTTGTTGCTTGTTGGGCTTCTTTTCATGTGGCCAAGATTGGTGTTTAAAATCTGGCTGAGTTCCTAACTGGCCAAACAAACAAAATTATATTACTGCACATCTTTAGCTGTGTGTATTTAGCCTTCTTTATTACACTGTGGTCAAGTGAGCCACTGTTAGCTTTTGCTCGGTCAAGTCACCTGCACTTGCTTTGGTGCGCAACTTGTCCTATATTTAGGGTAATCGCTGTGAAG